ACGAACTTTTGGAAATGAATTCCACTTTTCCTGTCTGTGTGGTGATAAATAGAAAATATTTCCAAATGACTGTAAATGAATTGAGTGTAGATTAGTTGAAGCAGAACTTCCTCTAATACAATATTTCAAATGAGAAAATCTGCTGACGGAGGTGCTCATGGGAATCGGGCACATTTTTGTGTGTGTAGGCTTGTGTAAAGGAGTGTCTGTGTGTGTTTGTGTGTGTGTGTGTGTGTGTGTGTGTGTGTGTGTGTGTGTGTGATCTCTGGCATGCTGGAGTGGGAGAGTGAAAACACTTAGTTTTTGTTTTCTGTGTCTTTGACACATAACAATAGTGGTGGGTGCGACTGTGCGAGTTCTCAACAGAGCTACTGATAACTATATACAAACAGTATATGTGTGTCTGTTTGCCTGCAGACGTCTGATATAATAGGGAGAAACTGAGTTGAGAATTCAAATCGCTTACATGTCTCAGAGTGTCATTTTGGATGTCTCCCTTATATCTGACATATACCCATATCAGGTCTTGGAGCCTCTACTAATGAACTAAACAGTTGAATTGGGTATAAAGGGGGCATCCAAAATGTACATTTTAGACAGGCATCCAGGAACAGAAACACTGACTTAATTTTATATTTATATCATTTAAACTGTTAAAGCTATAATTTGCACAAACATACACACTTTACGTTTATTGTGTATTGTGTTTAGGTGTAACATCAGTCAGTGATCATATGCTAATCATTTAGAGCAGAGTTTTCCTGAGGTTTGCGAGGTCATAAAAATGTAAAATAAAATAAAAAAAATAGATAAAAACAGACAAAATAAAGCCCTAACTAAAAAAAAATCCTATTTTATTTGTTTACCTGCATGTCATGTGACCATTAACCAACATCAGAGAACGGTGAACATACAAATGTGTTGTTCTATTATTGAAATGTTACCTAAGGGGGTATTTAAAGTAAATATTGTAGGTCAGAGGGGTTCAGCTGACAAAAAGGTTTGGGAACTCTGGGTTTTGAGTAATTCTCACAGCAAATAATTCAGATGCTCAACGAAGTATGTGAAGTCCATCCACATTAAAAGGGCAATCTGTGGGACAGGACCACCAACTGGAAAATGAGACTGTGTAACAGGCATAAAATACTTCTATAGTAAAATAATCAAATTAAATCAAATTAAATTTAAATAACATTATATATAGCAATTAAAAATGGGTTTGTAATTCACAGTAAAGTTATTACCATTCCAATGAAGCTAGCTAAATCTGAATATATTTTGGAGTGTTCAATATGCTATTTCCCAAGTCTTTGGAAGTCAAATAATAGTTTTGTGTGTGGAACAGACTTAAATTTAAGCTCACAAATCTTTTTAGTCCTTCTGATGAATTAGAAATGGTGTAAAATAAGAGTTGCTCTTTCTGGCTAACTTCTCCTTCTGTATTTCACTGAAGCAAGAAAATAATACAAGAATGGAATAACATTGGGACGATTGCTTTAAAGTTTCATGTGGTGTACTATTCCCAGTATGGTCTCTCTGTTCTGATAGCAGATCCGGCTGGGCTTCAATGCTTCCCGCTGTGTGTTAGCATTTAGCGTTAGCTACAGTGGTATGCAGGGAATCTCTCCTCTTGGCCAGCTGAAATATGGCCTTGTGGCCCCTCCCTATCTGCCTCTTCAAGCCATTGAACTCCAGACCATCAGACTCTCAGAGAGCCGTTAATGTGCACAGACTCACACGGCAACCTTCAATACTGTTCAGCCTCGACCTTTTGAACCTGACCCTCAGTGTGGGTATCTGCGAACATGGCTTTTGTCAACTGCCTAAGAGCACTCATCAACCAGGCTAAGGTAAGACAGAGAGAGACTGAGAGAGAGAAACAAAACACAAAGTATAGCTTTAAAAGTCATGCTTTGACTGACAGCTGTCAAGATCAGGTCTATCTGAGAAGCAGCTGCTCTTAGCCTCTGTGTTGTTATGGTCTCTGAACACTTACAAACAGTACTAAAAGTTACCATGGTGTTACTATGTTTTTGGATGCTCTATGGTGTCCTTTGAATACTATGGCATATAAATATCATAGGCTACCATCACTATACCATGGTACCGCCACTTACCGTACTTGTGTAAGGGAAACAACTCTCAAAAGCTTATGATTTTAATGTTTTCGTCTTTGAAAAGAACTGTTTTTTTTTTTTTAGCATATACTGTGTGAATAGTTGTTAGAAGGCACTTTGTGAGCATGTGTAAGTGTTTTGGGTGGTGCGGTGCGCGTAGGAAATGATCATTTGCTGAACTGGACTCACTCTGTTCATAGTGAGGTGGGAATCAGCCAAAACTCTGTTACCAGGGCAACGTCTTTTTTAAAAGCACCCATTCACCCTTTCCGGATGCAAACCCTATGACATCACAACGTTCCTAAGTGAGAGATCCTGATATATTTAGTTTGTTTTTTTTTCCGTTGCAGACTTTGGATACAGTGGAATGTCTGTTCAACTGAAATTACTGGAGAATCACACTTTGATTCAGGGGCACACAAACACACACACACACAACAAACTCTGTTACTGAAAAATTAGATGTTGGGCAGAATTTCAGAGATAAAATAAAAAAATACAGTAAATTGATTGAAAATAGAAATCTTTTTTAACATTGAACTGTCACTTTTGATCACTTTATTGCATTCTTGCTGAAGGAAAGTATTAATTTCTTTAAGAAGACCCCGTACAGGCTACACTAAATGTATACTTCAAGTATCCTTGTTATTAAGGGTTTATTTTATTAAGGTGATGCTGAAGCACAAAGTGAGAGCACCCAGAGAAAAGCAGACACAAAGATCTTGCTGTAAAATTCCATCAAATATGACTGTAACATTTTTTCCCCTGATGTTTCAGAAGCTGACCTGCTGTCGTGTCCAGAGATCAGGTAAAGATGTGAGATTTAATTACAGCTGAATGGCTTTGCCATGCACTAACAACATTACCATGGCACTTGCTAGAGCACCTATAAAAACACTGTGAGTGTAAATTCCTGGCAGTGAAATGTACACAATTCAGTCTTAAACAACATACTAAGAAACGTATAACAGTCTCTACTATCATTGTTAATAAAATGTATGTAAAACAAAGTAAATTATATGGACAAAATATCCCATGGTTCTGTTTTAAACTCTAATGTTACTTTCTTGATATCGCTTGATCTGTAGTTCAAGGCGAGCTGTTCTAGAACCCTTTGACCTCTACCCTCTCCATGCAGCGATCTACTGTATTTGTCACCCAGTTGCATTTTAGGAAAGTCATGGTAGTCTCCAGTCTTTGGATCACGTGACACAGAAAGTAGATCATACTATTTATAACACACCTCAGATGGCCTGGTAGATGTGTAATTATTCCCCACAGACTGTGAGGTACAGGGGTTCCTATGTGCCATAGGAGCCACTCTCTGGAAGTGCATGCGATGAAAAACACAAATAGAAATAAAATGTATGGCTTTTATTTTATATTTATATGTTTTGATTTTATGTGGACCTGCTGATTTTGAAGGAACATTAAAATAAGACTAATAATGAGTCTTTTCTTGTTCTAGTTTAAAAATGATCAGAAAAACAAAAATCCCTTTGTGGAGCATATTTTAGGCACGCTGTGTTCAGCTTCTGCTGGGACTTTATGAGTATGGTTTATTTGACTCTATAATTATAATGTTTGTAGTTCATCCTATTCACAAAGGTCCCTACAACCTATGCAAATGAACAAGCTCAGCAAACAGACGCATGTGTGTGTAGTTGTTTTTGGTGTAAATTATACACACAGACAGGCCATCTTTTGTCCACATGGGCGATAGCTTGGTTCTTTAATGCTGTCAGGGTCTCTGAATGATTATTCACTCAGTTTGATTGCTTCATATTGTCACTGTTCTCTGGCATGTGAACAAATTTTTGAAAAATGTTCTTCAGTCATTCTGATTTAACTTCAGATTAGATATCTATTTAGTCACATAGATTGGTCAAGCACTGTAACACGTGTGAGATATTTACTTTGTATATTTACAGATTCATTCAGATTAAAGTCTGGGAAGTATCAGTCCACAATGGCAGCAGCATCAGGGATCTCTAGGCATCAGGCCAACCCATCCAAAATTAAATGTTATTTAAACAACTTCAAATGATTTGTTAATTTGTTGTTATATGGCATTAACCACCCTTTTATGCTAGAGTTTTTAACCAGGACATGAGGAAAAAAGAGACACATATTATGTGAAATAATTATTTTGTATTTTTTTTAAAGAAAAAAAGGCACATGTTATGTGGAAAAAATATATTTAAATGATTTAAAAAGCTAGTTAAAATTAAACATGAATTATCACTCTCTCGCTCTCTCTCTCCCTTCGGCTTGCTCCCTTTTTCATCAGGGGTAAACATGAATTATCACTATATATGCAAAAAGTTTAGGTTTGACATCTATTAGGTTTTTTATATTATAAAATAAATTGTAGCTATTTGTCCATACCAGTGTAGACATTCTTAGTAGCCTACATCTTGTGAAAATGTTTATGTAAATTATAAAATTAAAGTTTAAAAGTAATGGACTTGACCTGGGTGTATTTAAAGTGTGTCCTTATAAGTATAACTAAACCAAGACACTTAAAAATAGGCATTGCATCCGTTTAAACAGCTCGGGACTGTTTGAAAAAGTCAGTTTGGCGTCATCACGGAAACTACTACAGTCAAAAGACGCACACGTGAAGAGACTTCATGTCCCGTGATGCTTAGCGGTTTGAATGGTTACAGGGCAGCGTCTTCAGAAAGTCCTTCTAATTAGAGTTTTTAAAGAAATGAATCGATTGCGCTAGTGTCTAAGTGGCGAAGCAGCATGAATAACCCCTGCTTTGTCTCAGGACTAAGACTTCGTGCGCCTCAAGAGTCTAACAAAGAAGAAGTCCGGGGTTAAAAGTTGAGTTCAGAAGTCAGGAGAGTTGGCGAAGGAGTTTGGAAATGGATAAAAGCCGAAATGGCCAACAAGCGCGATCTCTAACTTCACAGTTCAGAGAATCTACATACAGAGCCCTGACTTTACTGCGGAGGAAGGCGAAACAGCGGCAGATAGCGGGTAAGTTATACAGAAAATTGATTTTTTTTTTTTAGGAGAGTGAGATTTTAAGGCATCGGGTGAGACAGCAACGAGTCCGTCTATTAAAACCTTCAAACGGGGCTCGAAAGTGTGCCCAAGATTGCTTTCTGTAGGGTTAATGCCGTTTCATTTAATAATAAACCAGATATCTTTGGTACATTATTATAAAATATATATCATGAAATATTGTGCAAATTTCAGTAGCGAAATAAACCCTTGAGGTTTCCTTCATGCATTGCTGAACCCTCGGACATTTACCGTGGTAACCATGGTTTCCCCCAATAGCATATTTAGTAAAGCTGATTAACTCTATATAAGTAATTTTAAGTATTCTCCTTAAAAGGTGTTAGAATAATTTCATAATGTATTTCTTTTTAATGACAATAGGCTAATGCACAATTAATTTTACAGTCTAGTAAGAGTTTTTATTTTGTAGAAACAATGTTATTTTGACTAAAGCTGTGTTTACCATGGTAAAATATCAGGGTCAGCTATAATACGGTTACTTGAGTGTGCACGTGCTGCCATGTTTTTGCATGCAGCTGAAATAAGAGATCCGTTCATCTGTTAGAGGCCCACTGCCACACGCACGAGACCGTGGAGAATGAATGTATAGAGAGCTGGGTGTGAGCCAGGCAGGGAAAGATCAGTTTGAGTCTGTGCTCACTAGCTGTGTCTCAAAACATGGTGAGCTTCCTACCTAGACAGTTGCTGCACACGTGCATGATGTTCAGAAATGCTGTTTAGAAAGGAATCTCAGTTGGTGTTGAGACACAGCCACTGTTTGTGCATCCATATACATCAACATAGTGCTGCTAATAATCACCTTTGGCTTCCCGCAAAGCTTTTATCTGGAGAAAGAAAGAAGGAAAGAATCTGAAATTGCCTTCAGTTAACATAACTGGCATTTATGTGTTCACATTTCTGGTCTTATAACAATCCCAAAATGTGTTATTTTTTTTTATTTTTTTTTTTACAAGTCAACTTTCTGCTGATCTGGTTACAGACATGACAGTGTGAGTTTCCCATTTCCATTGAGACTGTGATTATCTTAATGAGATTTTTAGTTGCTGTAATTAACCCTTTCAGGTCAGGGTGGATCTGCAACCGTCCCGCTGTGGATCTTCTTGTGCAACCATTTCTTCTCCTCTTTCTTGGCTAGTTCCAGTGGACTTTTGTCATGTTGAATTGTTTGCCCCAGAGGGCAGGGATGTGTTTGTCATTGTGGAAGGGGTTTTGGACCTTAAACGGAGGAGTTTCAGAAGTCAAATGCTTTTACAGAGAATTAACATTTCCTCTTTCATGTGATTTGTTTGATGAGCTTATGATGAGCAGGTTTATCTTTAACCAGAGTATTTCAAATAAATGGGATGGGATGGGGAGAGTGGGGGAAATACACACACACACACACACACACACACACAGTGTTTTGAGTGTCTTTAATTTGGGATGTCTTTATATATTTTTTTCGCTTATAAAGTTTACCTCAATTATATAATCTATAATTTAGTTTGTAATTTAGTTTTTAATGAACATTTTTAATGAACATTTTCCTACCTCTAACTTTTAGAACTAAATTGAATATTTGTTGGCACTGTGCCTTTAAGAGTCCTATGTTAATTTTCATTTTTGCAAGTGAAATGAGAATAAATTTACTGTTTCACTAGATGTTCATGTTTTCCTGTTGAGTTACAATATAGTTTTAACTTGATCATCATTTAATAATATCCTCTTTAAAAAGCATAATTGCATTGTGCATTGCACATTCACAAACAATGTACAAACTGTTAAGATCAAACTGAAATGATCAAAGATCTTACAATAAAACTTCAGCCACTAGTTTCAAATGTTGGGATCCCTCAGAAAGATATGCAGAGTGGAATATGATATGACACTTCTGAATGGAGGCAGCGAGCATGTCATATGTGCTGCTTTGGCTTTATGGTTTGAGCTTGTGGATAGTTCTTCTCTCTAGGTTTCTTTCGGTTGTCAGTTGTTGATTGACGTACAGTAGTAACCTCTACAGAATGTCAGCTGAGAGGAAGCAAGCATTACAATCCAGTGTTGCAACATAAAAAAAGATTGTGTGGTTCATTAAAGGGGTCATATGATGTGATTTCAAGTTTTCCTTTCTCTTTGGAGTGTTACAAGCTGTTTGTGAATAGATAAGATCCCGAAAGTTGCAAAGACTAAAGTCTCAAACCCAAAGAGATATTCTTTATAAAAGTTAAGACTGGTCCACGCCCTCCCAAAACGCCTCGTTCAAACACGCCCCCACATGTCTACGTCACTGCGTGGAAAGATTTGCATAACACCGCCCAAATGCTCACGCAAAGAAAGAAGGCGTAACTTTATTGTTGCTGCCACTGCCGCCGCCATGTTGTGAAGACGCTGTTTCGTTGCGAAAGCAAAAAATACTTTGTTTGGCCTTCCAAAAGAAGACACGACTAGAAATCAGTGGTTAAGATGTA